AAGAATTTCTATTCTTATAAAGAATTTATGGGAATAATAGAATTTTGATAGTTTAAATTACGAACTAATCTAAGCTAGACCATCTTTGGAAATCAGGAAGTGTTGAACAGTTGTTTCGCTCTAGCATGAGATTCTTCAACATTGCACATTCATGATCCCATAAATGGGAATTGTTCCCATATTGCTTTTACATGAATCCTTTCAAATTTATCACGTCCTTTCATATTAATTCGTTATTTTTTCATCGTGAGTTACATAAGATTCGTGTAACATCACAAAGAATTAAATAAATGGAAAGAAATAATTCATCATTGTAGCGCTAAATTTGTTTCGTTATTTTGTTATTTTCTAATTCAATTCAATCCTCCCTCTCTCTCTTACAATAATGATCATTTGAGACTTTTAATATTTTACAAAGTGATCAACTACCTAATCAATTACCTTTCTGTAAAACTATAAAGATTATTTATTATTATTTATTTATTTGAACACATAAATATTGGTGCATGAGAGCACCAAATACATATGCGCCACACAAATTTCATTCGATATGTGTGAAAGCTGCGATATTGTCCAGGCGCCCGGACCGAAGCAGGTGGTTATCTTAGGGAGCCACACCCCGAGCCTTTGACCTAAAGGTCTAGCCCACAAGGCAGTGGAGCATCGTGAGAAGATACAGTCCCATGGAAGCCAGTGACCAACAATTAAGACCTACGTCATTTTTTACTTCGGGATACTGGAGCCAATGTGCACCATTGGTTTAGAATCCGGTTAAAGCTCCGGATATTCGCTTTTCGTCCTCTCATTTTGGTAAACAACACCCCCGCCACGAGAAGGCAGTGAGTAGGACTTCCCTGGCCGAGGCTATATACGCGTGGCCATGTGAGAACATTTCGAGAGGGAGGGAGGGCCCACTCCACTATCGGATATACCAGGGCATTTCGGGGCAAAAACTATAGTTATAGCTAGAAGTGTTTCATTTAAATTAGGTAATGGCTAACAGTAAAATTTTAGGTAGTATGTTTTGTACTATTTCGGACTAATCAACCAAATATATAAACCAGGTTCCGATGCTAGTAATCAGATTGAAATTTTTATAAAAAGTAGAATGAGATGCAGATACCTGAATTTCACTACTAGCCACTATCTAACTTGAGTGGTGTTTTTTTCCCTTACAGTGACGATTATTTTTATCCTTCGAAAATAAGTAACCACATTTACGTCCCTTGCGACTGAATTAAGGTTAACCAGACAATTACACTAATTATAAGTAAAAATTGATGGTGGCTAGCAGCGGAATACAGGGTGTGTGTTTCGTTGTAGTTGGGACTCGTCAGCTGGATGTATCTGCATCCTAGAGTCGATGTTCACTCAGGAACTCGAACATAGTGCCATTCGCTTCAAACACCGTCACGTTATCCACTTAGTTAATGAGTCCTGATAGCCACTGGTCTGTGCAATGGGGTGAACTTTAATTCATTTTTATACTGGTTGCTTGAATCTTCCGATTGATGATTGGGAATTAAATTGATCAGTTTCCAGCTGACGAGTTTCAAATAGAACGAAACACGTGTCCTAGTTTTCACTGTATGGTCACCATCCATCGTTGCTTAGAATGATTGTAAGTTAAAGCAATATCGAGGTAATCCGTACAGGTTACATATATGCCAATAAGAAACTGATCAATTACAGTCCTAAACATCAATAGGACGATTCAAACAAACAATACAAAATGTATTATACTAATTTTTTCCATTTATTTTTCTTCGTCTGTCTTTCGGGTATATTCATTACTGTCTAATTATTTGAAAACTTCTTGTAACTTATTTTAATACCTTTTAAATGAATGTTATTTCAATGTTTGTTTTCGCAAGTCTTTAATTTACATCCTATTATGAAACAATAAGGATTCATGTACGGATTATTCTTATCACAACCAGTACACTTGTCATTACACTATCAATTTACAGTTTTTACCTATTATGTTTAGGTATGTAGTCTTTTTTATTGTTATCATTGTCTTATCAATTCTCTTGATTGATTGGATAATTTTCTTTTATTTCAACCATGAAATGATCTTAGACAATAATTAAGAGCCAGGAAGCATTTAATGATTGCTTAGTGTTAGAATGGAACACTTTAACAACATACATCTATTACGCTGTAAATAATGATGAACTTAGGGACGTATTGACCACGGTGCCGGTATTCAATGATGTACATGTCTAACTTTAATCAGTTCATAATATCGCATGACTATCTTGCATTGCCTGTAATGAATAACTATCTGGTATCAGACACAGATTGAACTCTTTTAGTTACAATTTCATATGTATATAAATATTTCTGCTTAATGAGAGTAAAGCTCAATGAATACCTTATAAAAAAACAATGTTTGTCCAATTGTACATGTGTTGTTTTAGTTTCAAATTTATTTTTAAAAACTAACCAAGAAGTATATAACAAGATTTCAAAATCCTAATAATAATAAGGCTAAATTTATTTAAAATATGAAGTTTTATTCTTTCAATTGAATAACAAAAAGGGGTTAGACAGTGTCTTTCAAACTAATTAGCTATGTAAAACAATTGTCAATCTATTATTCATAAATAAACAATAGTTAATTAATAAATGAAATTAGTATCTACTCATACATTAATATAAGTAATATCTTTTTTTTCTAAAATGTAAACAAATAAGAAGGGGTTTTGTGTTTATAGTTGGATTTCTGAGTCAATTGAAATTAGACCATCATGGAAAACTTGAAAACACTGAACTTGATGTATGACTAGTAATGTTATCTAGGAAATATGTTTCATTCTATTTGTAACAGACTAATCAATTGGATATAACTTCATTCTAGTGTTGATGTTCACATTAAAACTTGAATTCAATACCTTAAACGTTAAATGTTCAATAGTTTTTTCACACTAAACTATATCATTTCACATAATTACTAACTTATTAGATCAATTTTGAGTGTATTAAGAAGCAATTTGTTATTTTTGGTGGAGTTTTGTTCTCTGAGCTGGATGGTTTGGTCGTGGAGCTTTCATCGTTCTTCTGAACGACATCACCAGCAATTTTTTATTTCCAAGATAAATTTGCTTAGAATAATTACATTTGTCAACAGAAATTATTTGAATAAGAATAAGAAAAAGATAATTCACTGAAGAACATTTTCTTTTTTACGAAATCATTTATTCAAGCCGTACATTCGTATTTATAGTTATATGGATAATATATATCCATAGAAGGATAGAAAAGATTACATCATCATTTGATTCGAGACTTGATATCAAATAAGGTTGCGCAATAGTCAATGCGTAGTGAAGGTATACGAGAAACAAAATAATTGATGGGTCAGATAATTGTTCAGTTGATAGGTATGAGGAAAAAACGACAAACATAAATGGCATAATAAGATTAATAAACTGAATAATAATCAAGCAAACTTTTCAATGATGGTCTAACTTCAAATGACTCATGATCTCAACTATTGAAACTTCTATAAAGTAATAATAATAACTGATTAGAGTTTAAAATTGCAAATCAATATTTTATACATTGGCATTGGTAATTCACGAACTAAAGCTCGAACTTTGAATGCAGAAACAATTTGTCCAACCTGTCATCCCTCCTTCACCCTAATTAGTATGTTTTAGGTTTTTCTCCTTCTACATTTTTATTTAATTATTATTGATTTTTTAAAATTACTATTTTGCATTTTAACTACTAATCAGTTGTTATTATTATTACGTTATACAAGTTTGCTTCATTATTATTCACTTTATTATTGGTATGCCATTTATGTTTGTCGTTTTTTTCTTTATATCTGTCAATTGGACTATTATCTGACCCATAAATTATTTTCATCTTTACCCCTTGATTAGTACGTAACCTTATTTGATATTTAGTCTCTAACCAATTTATGATATAATCATTCCTTACCTACTATACATATATATTATCTACATACGAATGTACAGCTTAAGTAAATGATTTTGTCGAAAAGAAAATTTTCTTCGCCGAATTCTTTTTTTCTTAGAAAAATTAATTTTTTACAATGAAAAAAAAGGAATGACTGATACCATTTGAATTTCCATGATAAAGAATACGTTTTTTTGAAAATAAAGAAAAATCTATCATTTATGGTCAGATGTTAATAGTAAATCATTTCACCATATGTTGAATATTTTTTTCGAATACATTTAATATAAACAAACTTGAAATGATTTTTAACTAATTATTCCATTTTATTTTTATATTGAGATCATGAACCGATCAATGTTAAGGCATAATTGAAAACCTGGAAACACTGAATGACCATTTCATTCTAACATGGAACTGTCCAGCATTCGCGCGGAACTCGAACCCAGAATATTTAGTCTTTACATACGAATGCTAAACCTCTAGACCATTGGTCCGGAATCGAACAATATTAATGTCTAACTTCAACTAGTTCATGATATTGCACTCTATACTGATAATGATTCAATCTAAAAAAATGATACGACCGATTAATAAATACAGTCATTACATGTATATGTGTACAATATTATAAGTTGTTATACGTTTGAAAGAGAACTAGTTACAAATGAAAAATCTTTATTTATTGAAATATTTATAGACTATAGTCGTTATAAATCAACTTCATCTTGGGTAGTATTAAAAGCTAAAGAGTATTGAATAGTTATTTTATCATAACACTAAACTCCTCTATAGTACACATCTACAATCTCAAAAGGAATCAAATGCCTAGAGAATAATTAATGATTAAAACTGTTTAAGATATAAAACAACGAACATATAATAGCATTACTGATGACTGTTTCGCTCCATATATGTATAAAACTTATCAATTATGACTTCTTACTAGGAATTCAGGAATGTCTTGATTATTTAGTGGAAAGTTTGATCAATGTGTTAAATATATTACAGTGTAAGAAAAAAAATATTATTTAAAATAGGGAAAAAGAGAAACAACAACTGTTGCTCACTTTTGTCATCCATCTAGCTTCTTCAGAATCGAATATAATATATGGTGAATCAACACGTACTAAACGTTTATTTGGGAATTGATTATGAAAATCTCTTGTATCTAATGGTCCACTAGCTTCTAAATTACTTTCTAATTGTTTTGGTTGATATTCACCTGGTACAAATACATGAGAACGTGTACGTATTGGTGTACGATAAAACATTGATGATTTCATACATCCTTGAAGAATATTCACAGTAGAAATTGTTAATAAAATTATTAATAATAAACAATGTGATTGATACATAATTTAAATGTTATTTCATTATGATATAACTATAATATCCAATAAAATATTCTTTATTTCTTTTCATAATTAAATATACCGATTGTATATGAATCCAAGACTATGGGGTTATATAATTATACTGTATACAATAGAATAATTAAGTGGATTGTCATCGAAATGAACATTATCGATGAATTAAAAAACAAAAGTTAAAATGAATTATTGAAAACACACAATATAAATACTGTATGTGTATTTGTTTAAATGTGTCAAGTTTCTCTGTATATATATTTCATTTGCGTGGGTATGTTATATTATTTCTCGAAAAAGAAAGATATATTTTAATCATCATTTTCATTTCACTTATATCATTGTAATTTTGTCTCTCAAATAGTATGTTAGTGAATTTCATAGTTAACACAATGTAGGCTACCATTCATTGTATATATAATACTGATACATGGAATACATTGTATCTATTAGTTAATCACAGTAGGGTTGTGTTTTTTTTCTTTCTTTTTCTGTTAGCTATGCCAGTGATGACATAATTTCTCAGATAATTTTCTAAAATCCATACTATTTTAAACAAAGTATCTTTATGTGTAGATAATGTTTACCTCATTGTGAGGTTAACACTTTTAGCGTATAAAAGCGTTATGATACATATGAAGTAGAATATTATGTTACCACCTATATTCTCTTATATCAAATAGATACACATCATACATAGATTTTATAATTATGATCGTGCACCCCCTATCCCTCATGAATATGATTGGCTGAATTTTCCATACGGCCAGTTATACATTAACCAATCATATCTGAAATGTATCGTCAATTGAAAGGGTTAGGAATGTTCAGAATAACGAGTAGGTGTATTTACTGAACGCAGATAGACATACAATCTAAGCGACATCCAAAATATATATATATATATATATATATATATATATATTTGAATCTCTATGGTCAAAATTGGTCAATGGCTAGTTAATGTTTCACCAAAGTACGTAATCATAAGTTAACTAGAAAAAAACTTACATAATACTGAACGGGTTCATAGTCGATTTTACTTGTTAAGGGAAAGTGTAAAAACTCTTTTTTTTTTTAGAAAAAAATACCCAGGATAAAATGAAAAATCAAATTTTCAGTTTTATGTACATTATGCTATTAGTTTTTCTTGAAAAATGAATTAGTTATCTACCTTAAAACTATATACATCATACAGATGTCAAAGTATACTTACTTTAAAAAAAACTAATGACTATTGGTTAATAATAACACTTAGGGAAAATTCCCTTGATTTAACTTAGATTTAATGTAACTTTATCATGTTTCACTAATATTTAGTTTGTCCTTATATAAATCATACACTATTAAAATTATTCCAATGAATAGACAAGAATAAAACGAAATAAAAATCAATTACCATTGGTTCTTCCGAACAGGATTTTTAAAAATAAGATTATATTTACATATATTACTGCTGAGGAGTCTCATACTAGGACGAAACGGCCGTCCAGTGCTTCCAGGTTTTTTCATGGTGGTCTAGCTTCAATTGAAATCCAATTGTCAAACAATAAAAATGTACAGAATAATTCATTATAATCCTATGGTGAATAATAAATTTCAAATTGTCTGTAAATACTCGAAATATTAACTTTACTAATTAAACATTAGTAACCAACATAACATGGACAAAAAATGAGAGTCTTTTATATTAAATGCTTTATATATCTTTTATGGATGCGAAGGAATATACCAATAATTATCATGTTAAGTCCAATGGTGTCCTTGGTCTTTAAATGGAATTTCCTATTGGTTGATATTTGTTCACTTGTTGAATATTGTACAAAATGTTGTTTTTTATTTTATGGTACGATGTGGTATGCTTGATTGGTATATAAGCAGAGTGTGTTTGAAATATAACGATTCATAACTCACAGGCCGAAACTTGTGTTCTGGACTCAAATGACTGGGCTAGACAGGGAAGCAGGGCCAATCGGGACTCTGGGTCGTTCATTACGTGTTTTCCGTGTCACTGAATCGATCGACAAAAACGCTGCTATCTTAATCTGCAGTCACACGACACAACAATATCATGTTAGAATGGTATTGATTTAAGTCTGAGATAAACATACAAATGATTATGATCTACATGTTAAACTTATATTTTTCTTTCAAGGAACAGATTATGACTGAAGAAATAATCAATAATAATGAACAGAGAGATTAAACATTCATATGACGAATTTGTAAAAGTTTATATCGTTCTGTCCTATATTGTGAAGGGTTGCAATTAATCAGTTTCTTTCAGTATTGATATGTCATAAGCAGATTGTCATTAACTCATTGGTCGGATAGTAGTTAGCAGTGGAATCTATAATCCGGGTTAATTCTATTTCGAAGTCATCTAAATGAATCTGCTACACTCCACTGTTGATGTTCACATTGAGATATTAACATAGAATCTTCCAACCTCAAAACCAACTCATTGTCATTTGTATTATTGAATTCAGATGGCTACTAACGAAAAATACCGAATCCAAGTATCAATCTGAACATTAACCCTAAAATGTGCCAAATCATTTAATCTGAAGAGTCCTATATAGGATGAAACAGGGATCCTAAATTGCTTTTCTAGTTACTAGGGTACTTAAAAATACAAGATTATCTACTATATTTTAGATGCCTATCCCAAATATCTACGCTGATAGTATCCGGTAAATTTTTAATCTCATAAAAAAATTCACGCTAGCGTTCGTAAAACATCAAAATAAAATCGTATTACTGAAAGTTTAGAGAAAAATGTCTCATGATAATAAAAAGGAACGAAATTGTGAAAAGTAGGATACAAAACTAGTTAATTTGTTCAACCTCTTGATTGTACTAACGAAAATTAATGCATTTTGAAGAGAAATAAGAATTTTTCTTAAGAACTATTATTATTATTAAGGGTAATTGACACTTAATATATGGTCGAGTAATAACTTATCAGTTCGTACAACATACTTAATTCTGTTGATCTGACTAATGTGATGTACTTGCGCTATACATTTCAAACAATCTGGTCACACATATACTTATCAGCGCCCTCAAATGCCCTGGTACGGCCGATAGTGGAGAGAGTCCGCTCTCCCTCTCAAAATGCTCTCACATGGCCATGCATATATTGCCTCTGCAAAGGAAGTCCTACTCACTGCATTCTCGTGGCGGAGGTGTTGGTTCACAAAATTGAGAGGACGAAAAGCGAATGTCCGGAGCTTTAACAGGGTTGGTGGACATGGAGAGTTTAACTAGGGTAGTCAGAAAACCCTAACTCCGAACCAATAGTGCACATGGGCTCCAGTATCCTGAAGGAACACGAGAAGTGTAAACCAATCGTTGGTCACCGGCTACCATGAGACTGCATCTTCTTACGATGCTCCACTACCTTGTGGATCAGACCTTCATGTCGAAGGCTCCTGGTGTGGCACCCCAAGAAAACTATCTGCTTCGGTTTTGGCACCCGGACAGTACCACAGCCCTCACACATATCAAATGAGATTTATGTGGTGCATATGTATTTGGTACCTCCTATTACCAATATCTGTGTGTTAAAATAAATAATTACTTATCAGGGCATTTTATATGAAAATTAATAAAAGTTCATTAAATGAAAGTTCAAGTAAAAAGTAATAAAGAGGAGAGAAACAATTTTACATCGTATAGAAAGAATAAGAAATTGTCGCATTATCCTAAGCCATAGAATGACTTAAAAATTACCAAGGTAAACACGAGGTAACGACAAACTGTTTTTGTTCTATCGAAATTTATAAAAGGGACAAGTTGTTTTAAATAATTAATTCTACTTTGTAAATGAAATAGAATTTCATTATGCTTTCTAATATGACAAGTCGATTCTATTCGTTGTTTCCTGTTATTTTAACAACGGTTATTCTTGACCAAATTTATTTCTTCTACATATTCATTGTATTTAGTAAAATATTGGATGAATATGTAAGTTTCAACCGTAAAATGGTTGAACACTAGAATTAGAGAATGTTGAATTTTATAGTTTCTACATCAAGGACTGGATCTTAGTTTAATAATCATTTAAAATTAGAAAATACTAAGCATTTGTTTATTCATAGAATCAAACAACTGAATGCTCTCCACGAGACGCAAAGTTTCTGGGTTCGATTTCCTGTGATACGATTGTAGATAAAGATTGTTAAAGAGTCTCTTATTCAATGAGAATAGCTGTTCATTACTTCCTTTGAGTTTATAGGTTCTCTAACTAAAGTCAGTTAGTGGTGTGAATTGGAATAACAGTCACTAGTAGACAAATTTAGTGTTTAAGCAACATATTTTTAATGCACTGTACTATTAAACAGTTTTCAAACCAACAATTCCTTAAATGGGATTTATTTACCTCACAAAAAATTTCGATCTCAGATTAAATATAAACGATTCTAAACTACTAACAAACTTTTAACATTATGTTCGCAAGTATTCTTAACTGTTTTGTCATCATCATCTTACAATGAACTCTTGGTATCAGTTATTTAAACAAGAAGAAAGACGACTGCATGAAAACTGATATGAATACTCCTATATTTATTAATTATAATTAATCAGGTGTTTTAAAACAGTGATTTTTTTTAGAATCCATAAATCCTATGTTAATTGATTGACTGTTAATAATTGGGCTTATCCACATGTAAATTAAAAGGGAAAAAACTGCCCAAAATCTTACGGACTAATCAAACTTATGCATTGATAGAAAGACTTGTCATCTTCACCATCTTTCTAAGTCATGATAATTAGCATGCTCGACAGTAAAATAATAGTATAAGAATGAATAATAGTTGGGAACAGGGTTTTTAGGTATTTTAAAATCATTCAAATATCTGTTATAATGAAAAGTAGAAATAGTTATAGATACCGATAAAAACATTTAAAGTGATAACACAAAACTATTTTTGTTGTTGTTTCAAAAATCGATTGAAAATGATAGTGTTAAATGTATCGGATCT